GTTGGGTTATTCTGTGCCCCTGTAGGTTTAGGAGAGTTGGGTTATTCTGTGCCCCTGTAGGTTTGGGAGAGTTGGGTTATTCTGTGCCCCTGTAGGTTTAGGAGAGTTGGGTTATTCTGTGCCCCTGTAGGTTTAGGAGGGTTGGGTTATTCTGTGCCCCTGTAGGTTTAGGAGAGTTGGGTTCTTCTGTGCCCCTGTAGGTTAGGGAGGGTTGGGTTATTCTGTGCCCCTGTAGGTTTAGGAGGGTTGGGTTATTCTGTGCCCCTGTAGTTTAAGGAGAGTTGGGTTATTCTGTGCCCCTGTAGGTAGAAAACCCGGGGGTTTCTCCAGCTACTTTACAGATACAATACAGGCATCACAGATGAGAGTAATTTTGTTTTATTTTTATTTTGCAGGTTTAGTGACCTGAAAGTCTGGGGTCCCCTGTCTGTGAGACTGAAGCTCCTACACTTTTAACAGCTGACTGCTATATTGAACTTGGAGGGTATTGACGGAAGCCCCCTACATTGTTGGCGAGGTTTTGTCGGTGATGATACTTGGATCACCAGTGCCGAGAGGATCATCACCCAGCTTCCATTTGTTTCTGAGCCAACATGGCTGATGTACCAGGGGAAATACATTTATGGAGAAAACCACAATTATTAAACAAATGGCTCTCCCTGGCGACAGCAATGTAGAAGTGCACTGTAAGGGGCGGTCACTGACACCTTGATCACGGCTGCAGCAGCTGGACATTTGACCAGCTGAGGTCCACAACCTACAGGTTAAAGGAGATTTTCTTATCCGGCAAAGACAATAGTGTATACATCAACTCTGTTAAGAGGACTGGAAGGAAAACAGCAACTTTTTGGCTATCACCCAAGTCTGGATATTATCCCAGAATTAACTGAAGCTTGTCACTGGAGGTGGCTTGACATTGACATAAAAGCCCAATTACAGATTTGTCCTCAATTCCTGAAACTCTGTAACCTTGGCAACAGTCTGACATCAGTATGTTATCAAATATAATATCTACATTTCATAGATCATGATATCCCAAAAGAGCTGTACTCAGAAAGTAAAGAAAATAAAATCGGTTTATTTTTTAACATTTTTTGTTTAATTTTATTTCATTGCAGTTTAAGATTCGGGATGACTAATCAGATCTCAGATAAGAAATTATACAGAATTGGTCCCAATTAAGTGGGGTCAAAATCCTACATTTCTTGAATTGGTCAGCAACAGTGTGGTCATGAAGCCAATATACACAGCATTGGTTTCATTGTGGTCAATCTCCTGAGCTGGTATTGATCGGGGAGTTACCTATCTCAGTGGTCAATGTCCTACAAATCATTAACAACAGAAGATCAACATTTCCTCACTCCGAGTCTAAAACTCATCATCACCTGAATAAATATGCTGGTGTATTTCTTAACAGACAACAGAAACAGTCGTTTATTTGCTTTCATATTGCCTATGAACTGCATCTGAAAGCAATTTAATGCTTATATTTATGTGTTCATGTCTTTCTGTCCTTTAAAAAAAACAGTACAAAATAAGAAAAAAATTAAACCCCACATCCTATGTGCCTCTTGTCACTTGTTTTTCAAAAAAAGGACTTCTTCCATTAGACTGATTAGCTATTCTTCGTGGGCACTTTTCATAATTTTAATTTTGAATTTAAAAAAGTTTTAAAAGTTTCTCCTTCAGCGCTTTCTACAGGAACATGTCGCACTAAGAGTGAGACACTGACTCTTTACTGTTAGCGGTCAAAGTGAGGAGAGGCGAGACCTCAAATTCCCTAAAGTTCTAGTAATGCTGGAATAGAGACTGTGTCTGGGAGCGTTGTAGATACGTATCGGACTGCTGTCCGTGTTTATCCAGCGTGATGTAATCCCCATCATACATGTTACAATCAAAACTGTATAAAATAAACCTTTTCTCTCCTCTTACACACAGTCATGTTGTTTCAATTTACGCTGGCTAGATCAAAACAGAGACATGGAGCTCTAACTTAACGAGAATCTCAACCTCTGAGAGAAAAAAACCTTTAAGAAAGATATTAAAATTATTTTGATGCTGGAAAAATGCTTATGACCTTGGTGCCATCAGAGTTTTAACAGGACACAGTATGAAAAGTTCCCAGGAAGTACAAAGTTTCCTCAGAAGCAATGTCTGCCGTCTTATCTCTGAAGATCCCATTAGAATCACAGAAGAAAGCCGTCATACTATTAACAACACACGCCATCTATCACAAGGGTTACTGGGGGGGCCAAAACAATAATATCACACGGCGGCTAGGGGGCTCTCACAATCTTACAATGGAGGTGACTTGGGGGCCAAAACAGTTGTATCACTGAGTAAACTAGCGGGCTCTCACAATCTTACAGTGGTGGTGACTTGGGGGCTAAAACAATCATATTACAGAGTAATCTAGGGGGCCCTCACATTCTTACAACGGAAGTGACTCGGGGGGCAAAAAAATCGTATCAAGAAGTAAACTAGCGGGCTCTCACAATCTTACAATGGTGGTGACTCGGGGGCCAAAACAATCGTATCACGAGTCGGCAACGCTGTACGCGTATGTACAATAGTTGTTATATATGTACCGAAATGATACTTAGTCATAGATGTGCGAGAGTCTATGAACCCCTCATCTCGATTTAGAACTGGCCCACTGCGGCGTATCCAGATGGCTTCCCTTATCTGCAGCTTGAACAAATTGAGTTATCTCAGTCAATCACATGATTTTGGACAACTGGTACACATTTTACACCATCATGTGCATATGCTTCACTGGTCATTTGTCTGATGAAGGTGACAGTGTACATATCGTACTAGTCATCGAAACGTCACATAGAAAATCTTATTGGTTGTGTAAAAAGAACTTTTCATAAGTCTCAATAGAATTTACATGTAGTACAATAGAATATTATTGCTAGAGGAATGATATAATACAATTCATTTCTGTATTACATACTGATATACCATTGACTACCGGGGTACCTACCCATCCTGGCTTCCTGTAACTGGACATGTGACCTATAGGCTGTAAGTGATGTGTGATCCCATTTCTATGAGGGATCATATCACCACATTTAGCCTGATTTGGTATGTGCCATGTCAATCGTAATAACATAGCTTTGGGGTGTAGACTCAACTTCGTTCTAGGGGTCAGAATCAAGTTTCTAGACCAATGACCCTTTGGAATTATTGTTTTTCTGTGAATAAATTTCCTAGGTTGAGTAACACAAACTCACAAAAAAAAAATGTTCTAAAGGTCTTGAGAGTAATCAAGGCCAATATAAGAAATGTTCCTATCTCCCGGAGGGTAAAGACTGCCACAGGTATAAAACACCAATGATATGCTTGGCTGCCTCAGAATTATTATAAATGTATAGAATCAATTACAAAAAGATCATAAGCAGCTATCTGTTAACATAAAAGCAAACCTGTTGTTTTTATACCGCTGATTCATGTATGAACTGTCAAAAAGACTTCTCATTTGGGATTATAATTATTATGTGTTTTTTTATGACAACTTGTCTGGGGGATATATGAAGGACTAGTTCCTTAGATGTGACAACAACACTGTTGATAAGTAACGGACTTCATACAGGTACATCACCGGCATAGCTCACTGACCAGGTGAATACACCACAGGTAAGACATGAACAGGTAACATGTTGTCTACCTTAGATAAGTAAAACTGGTGGGAGAGAACCAGGTGAAAATTGGGGGGAGAACCATACAGTATACCTTAGACAGGTAAACAGGTGGGAGAGAACCATACAGTATACCTTAGACAGGGGAGAACCATACAGTATACCTTAGACAGGTAAAACAGGTGAAAATTGGGGGGAGAACCGTACAGTACACCTTAGACAGGTAAAACAGGTTAAAATTGGGGAAAACCATACAGTATACCTTAGACAGGTGAAAATTGGGGGAGAACCATACAGTATACCTTAGACAGGTGAAAATTGGGGGAGAACCATACAGTATACCTTAGACAGGTGAAAATTGGGGGAGAACCATACAGTATACCTTAGACAGGTGAAAATTGGGGGAGAACCATACAGTATACCTTAGACAGGTGAAAATTGGGGGAGAACCATACAGTATACCTTAGACAGGTGAAAATTGGGGGAGAACCATACAGTATACCTTAGACAGGTAAATCAGGTGAAAATTTAGGGGGAGCACCATACAGTTTACCTTTGACAGGTAAACTAAGGTAAAACAGGTGAAAATTTGGGGGAAGGGGGGGGGGCGGGTAGAGAGAACATGCTATAAAGGCAAATACATGGAGGGTTAGCTATAAGTTAATTTACAACATATGGTTTAAGAGTACACCTGTCTTTATATAACTGTTAGGCAAGGCCAAGTTACTGGACAAAAAGTAGTTAATAGGTTAGCACTATAATTATCGCAATTGAAGCTTCCTGCTATACAATCCTTTATTATTCACAGTTATCAACTTTAATGGTGACTATAATAATCATGTAAATTCTGCTATTCTTCAGATAATGAAAAACTGTTGCAGCACAAGGACGAGAGCAGGTGGAGACCGATCCTTGTAACTGAATGTTTTATCCTTCGCTCAAATTAATAGATTGATTGAAAATAATTAGTATTTATTAACAATTCAAGTTTAAAGGGAATTAAAAGATTCCCAAAGGGCCAAGTGAGCTTATGTCGTGGTGCGGGGTCCATCTGTCCGGCATCCTCTTTTTAATTGAAACAACTTAGTCTCCATAACCAAGAAGCCTAGGGTGATGATATTAGGCCAGTAGCATGCTGGAATAAAGGACTTCCAAGTTTGTTCAAATGTTTCTAAGTCATAGGAGTCAAATGGGTTTAAACCTGTTAATAGGTTGTTTTGAATAATTTATAGTCATAAATACTGATATTTTGCATGTACCTTTATTTTAGTCCTCTTTTTAAGTTACAAGTTTGAGAGTAATACCAGGTGAGCGATGAAAGGCCCATTGGACCTCTTGTTAAATTTACTGCAAAAACATTTTAGAGAAAAATTGAAAAGGTAAATTTTGGAAAAAATTGAACCCCTAAAAATCTGGTCCAGAAAATGGTTACTCACAACTGCAGATGTGTTAAACTAGTTCTTAAATCTCTGTGGTAACTTCAAAGCAAAGCCCATTGATTCTTTTATTTAATTGGTAATGTACAGGCCCAGGGAACATCTTGTTCACTTTGATTGGTAAATAAACAGGCCCATTGAATCTGTTGTTCAGATTTATTGGTAATTTATAGGCCAAGCGAATCTTTGGTTCAAAGTCATGGTAATTTACAGAACCAATTAACATTTTTTCACCTGAATGGTAACTTGAAGGGCCAGTGCAATCTTTGATCATTTTATTGGTATCATTTAAAGGCCTATATAAGTCTTGTTCAGTCAAACTGATAACTTACAGGCCCAGTAAACCTTTTGTCCATTTACAGGCCTATATAACCTCATGTTCAGTCAAACTGACAACGTACAAGTCCAGAAAACCTTTTGTCCATTTACAGGCCTATATCACCTCTTGTTCAGTCAAACTGATAACTTACAGGCCCATTAAACCGCTTGTTCCATCTAAGTAATATCTGACATACCCAAGGAACCTCTTTCCTGAATCTACAGGCCCATCAAACCTTATTTGTGTACCTGATTAAGGCTGACCCACATGTACATGTCAACAGCCTAGAATTTGCTACAGGGAAGAGTGAAGTGATGCTGGAAAAGTTGCTGCTATTGATCTGTGCATCACTAGGATCTACAGGCCAATGAAGGAAGCTGCTGACCAATGAGGTGACCACTTTAGTGTGAGGTCAATGACAGGGTGTCAACCTACCTGCGGGGATTACCTCCCTTGTTAATTGTGTTACACAAAGTCAACAGACTATACTGCCAGTATCCGGGTCAGGTTACTCCAATACCCAATACACCGCCATCAAAAGGATTCTCATTAAAATAAACCTATAAATAAACACAGCTCTACAAAGGAAACAGAATATTGACAGATTGAAACGCTAGTCACGTTTTGTAGGATACTGAACCGATATGTTTCACCTGTAGATGTATAAAGAAACAGATTTGTATGAGAAT